AAACGCCCAGGAGCACGACTAATGGGCTATATAAGTGTGTGTAAAGTTTTTAGAGAAATGGCCAAACTACTTTCCAGAGTGGCTGCTCCATTTTACATTCCCACCTGATTCTCATGTATGAGATTCAATTTTTCCACTTTCTTGTGTTTATCACTATTTTTATTTGTTCAAATAAGTGTGTAAAGATACTGTAATCTTTGTTAGTATTTCCTTAACGGCTCATGATGTTGAACATCTTTCATGTACTTATTTGCCATTTGTATATCCTCTTCAGTGAAATATTTATGTTTTTTGTCCACTATTTTTTTTTCTTACTGTTGAGTTTTGGGAGTTCTTTATATATTCAAGTTATGAGTCCTTTATCAGATATTTGGTTTGCAAATATTTTGTTTGCAGCTTTTCATTTTCTTAACAGGGTCTTTGTTGGAGCAAAAACTTTTAAGTTAAATGTATCAACTTTTTTCTTTATGGATCTCAGGTCTAAGAACTCTTGACCCAGCTGTAGGTCCTGAAGGTTTTCTTGATCACTTCGAAAATTTCATAGCTTTATATTTTACATTTAAATCCATGGTACAGTTTGAGTTAATTTTGTATAGGAGCTGAGGTTTGGGTTTTTGTTTTGTTTTGAATTTCCCATTGCTCCGGCACCATTTGTTGAAGACTATCCTTTCTCCATTCAGTTTGTTTTGCACCTTTGTCAAAAATCCGTTAGCCTGGGCAACAAAGCGAAGCCCCGTCTCTACAAAAAACATAAATATTAGCCAGGCGTGATGGTGTGCACCTGTAGTCCCAGTTACTCGGGAGGCTGAGGTGGAAGGATCGCTTGAGTCTGGGAGGTTGAGGCTGCAGAGAGCTGAGATCTTCCCACTGCACTCCAGCCTGGATAGAGTGAGACCCTGTCTCCAAAAAAAAAAAAAAAAAACACAGTCCTGATTACCATATCCACTCCCCACTCCCAGACTGGTTCTTCCTCAGCATCCCATCCTTTAGTTCTTTCAGCAAAGATCAGTGCATCATACACACTTACTGACATAAGCCTGGAAACATCTTCATGCCCCTACTTATGATAACTGAACAGACTTGACACTGGTTTTCTGAGCACTTAGGAAAACTTTATCTTCTGGTATCTACTGTTGATGAAAAGTGAAACTAATTCTTTGTAGGTAATCTTTTAACATTTTAACATGTAGCTTGTGTGATTTTTTTTTTTTTTAGCTTCGATGTTCTCATCCAGACCACTGTAGTGAAACTGCAGATGTAGTAAAACTGCTCTTGAAAAATATATATATATGCTGGGTGCCGTGGCTCATGCCTATAATCCCAGCACTTCGGGAGGCTGAGGCAGGAGGACTGCTTGAAGTCAGCTGGAGAGCAGCCTGGCCAAAATGGTAAAACTAAAAATACAGGAGAATTTGCCAGGCATGGTGGCACACACCTGTAGTCCCAGCTACTCGAGAGGCTGAGATTGAAGAACTGCGTGAGCCCGGGAGGCAGAGGTTGCAGTGAGCCGAGATCACACCACTGCACTCCAGCCTGGGTGTCAGAGAATCCATCTCAAAAAAATAAATAAAATAAAAATAAGCCTGTGTGTTGAAATACAGCATATACACCAAAGTGTATAAAAATGAATAAGTCTAGAGAATAAATTCCCTTCACTCAAGCCAAGAAAAACACACTGTCATTATCTCAAAGGGCCCCTCTCCAAAGCTAACTACAAGGCTGAAGTTGACGATCACCATCTTGCTCTTCTGCCCTGGCCCTACCACCTGCGTGTGTCCTTACATTGTCTCACTCTGCCTGTTCAGAATGTCACACAAATGGCTCATACTTTCTTCTGTGACTCACTTAATATCTATCCATTTGTAGCACATGGCTGTAGCTCTTCTCACAGCTATGGAACATTGCACTATAAGAACGACAACTTACCTATTACCACATTCTGGCTTTGATTTGGTGTTTGTGTGTGTGGACACATGTGCCCATGCCATCACCAAGAATGCTTCTACAAGCATTTCTCTCCTGCCTCCTAGTGTACATGTGCAACAGTTCTCGAGGGGAGTAAGAGTGGAACTGATGGGTCCCAGCGTGCAGGTGTTCAACTTTTCCAACGTGGTTACACATTTCACACTCCCACCGCTGTGGGTGGGAGGTCTCACTGCTCCACAGCAAGCCGACGTAGCTAATGACACCTCTGAAACTCTCCCTTGCCTGGCATCACTCCCACCACCTCCACGTTCTTTGGCTGATCCTGTGCTTGACATGGCTTTTCTAACCCCACCAATCTTTCTATTGGCTTCTGAGGCGGGGTCTCACTGTTGCCCATGCTGGAGCACAGTAGTGTGAGCAAAGCTCACTGCAACCTCCACCTCCCAGGCCCATTTCCCACCTCAGCCTCCCAAGTAGCTGGGACTACAGACACACACCACCGCACCTAATTTGTTTTTTTGTAGAAGATGGGGTTTCACCATGTTGCCCAGGCTGGTCTTGAACTCCTGAACTCAAGCAATCTGCCTGAGACTCAAGCAAACTCACCCTCCCTAAGTGCTGGGATTACAGGCATGAGCCACTGCACCCAGTTGGCTTTAGGTTTTTTAAAAACCCAGCAAACTGAGTTGAAAGAAAAAAAAAAAAGAAAGGAAGAAAAGCAGTCTAATACCTTGCCATTACTGACATATTTGGATTCAACTACTCAATCTACCTTTTCCCTCTGCTTTCCTTTGGATCGTTACTTCTCTTTCTGTTCTTTTTTCTCATCTCCTCTAAAAGTAGTACGCTGTGTTTCTACTCTTTTCAGGCTACCCTGAAATGTGGAAATGTCAGCCGGCCTGTTTCCCAGTCTTACCCCTCTTCCTGAGTGAGCTTCTTCAAGGACTGTAACCCTAACCACCTCCTACCTTTGAACTTATATACCACTGCTATGTATTCTAAATAGCCCTTGCTTTACCTCACAACACAGTTTTGTTTTATAAGGTCAGTGCTTATTTACATTTATACTTTCCAACTGGGATTGTGACCCCTCAGTCTGAAAATACCCTTTATGATTTTTTTTCAAAGAAGAATGTTTATTATTATTATTATTATTTTATTTATTTTTTTTTTTTTTGAGACGGAGTTTCACTCTTGTTACCCAGGCTGGAGTGCAATGGCGCGATCTCGGCTCACCGCAACCTCCGCCTCCTGGGTTCAGGCAATTCTCCTGCCTCAGCCTCCTGAGTAGCTGGGATTACTGGCACGCGCCACCATGCCCAGCTAATTTTTTGTATTTTTAGTAGAGACGGGGTTTCACCATGTTGACCAGGATGGTTTCGGTCTCTTGACCTTGTGATCCACCCGCCTCGGCCTCCCTAAGTACTGGGATTACAGGCTTGAGCCACCGCGCCCGGCCTATTATTTTTTTTAAACAGCTTTATATGTATACAGTTCGCCCACTAAAGGGTACAATTCAATGGCCCTTGGCATATTCAGCATATTCACAGACTTGTGCAACCACAATCACTTTTAGAACATTTTCATTACCCCAAAATAGATTTTTGTTTAGTGAGAATCTGCTGGTGACAGAATCCCTGACCTTGTGGGTCTAAAAAACATCTTAGGTCTGGTGCAGTGGCTCATGCCTGTAATCCCAGCACTTTGAGAGGCCGAGGTGGGCAGATCACTTGAGCTCAGGAGTTCAACATCACCCTAGGCAACATAGTGAGACCCCATCTCTATAAAAAACAAAAACCACGTCTCATCGTTAGTGAGTATGCAATTCTAGGATGACAATTTTCTCTCATTCCTGTTAACATTGGTTATAGCTGAGACATCTGCTGCTGTGTTGCTCCTTGAAAGGTAATATGTCTTTTCTCTCCAATTTTAAGATATTTTCTTGGTCTTTGTGCTCTTTAATGTTACCACAATGTCATTACGTATGTGGTAGTTTTAAAAGAAGTCCACAAATTCTTAGACGGTCCCCCCTTCAGGAAGTGGAACCTAATTCTTCTCCTTTAAGTGTGGGCTGGGTGTAGTGACTTGCTTCTAACAAATAGAATGTGGCAGAATATCACTTCTAAGACCAGATCATAAGATCTGAAGCCCAACACTCCTTCCTGCTTTGTCTTTTGGATTGCCACTCTGGGAAAGCCACCAGCCACGTCTTGAGAACACTCGGGCCGGTGAAGAAGTCCATGTGGCAAGGCACAGGGGCTTCCATTCAATAGCCCCACAAGTCATCTTGCAAACAGATCCTCCAGTCCCGGTCCAGCCTTCAGATGAGTGCAGCTTCACAACTGACCCCACGCTAGACCTACCCAGCTAAGCCACTCCTGATTCCTGGCCTACAAAAACTGAGGTAATAAGTGTTTATTACTTTAAGCCCCTGAGTTTTGGGTAATTTATGTGTAGCAATTGATGATTAATAAAAAGTGTGGTTTTTAAAGTAAATTTGCTGAGTTAGAATAAACATACGAAAAGTGCATAAAACATATGTATGCAGCTCAATGAATATTCATAAAGTAAAAATACCTAATCATCACCCAGATGAAGAAACAGAACATTTGGATGTATATTTTTTCCTATTAATCTGCTTGAGACTTGCTGGTCTTCCTGAATCTGTGAATTGGTGATTTTCAAAAGTTCTGGACGTTCTCAGCCACTGTTGTTAAACATTGCCTCTGCCTCATTTTCACTTTTTTTTTTTTCCTCCTGGAACTCCATCACCATCTTTTTTTTTTTTTTTTTTTTTTTGAGACGGAGTCTCGCTCTTGTTACCCAGGCTGGAGTGCAATGGCGTGATCTCGGCTCACCGCAACCTCCACCTCCTGGGTTCAGGCAATTCTCCTGCCTCAGCCTCCTGAGTAGCTGGGACTACAGGCACGCGCCACCATGCCCAGCTAATTTTTTGTATTTTTAGTAGAGACGGGGTTTCACCATGTTGACCAGGATGGTCTCGATCTCTTGACCTCGTGATCCACCCGCCTCGGCCTCCCAAAGTGCTGGGATTACAGGCTTGAGCCACCGCGCCCAGCAGGAACTCCATCACTTTATGTTGGATCTTTTCATTCTATTCTCCACGTCTCTCAATCTCTTGCTTTACATTACTGATCTGTTTATCTTGCTGGGCTGCATTTTGGAAAACTTCAGATCTAGTTTCCCATTCACTAATTGTTTCTTCACCTTTGTCTAATTCACAGATACAAGGATTTTAATTGCCATAATACATTATAGTGCTATATAGTCATTCCTTATCCATGGGGGGCATGTGCCAAGGCCCCCAGTGGATGCCTGAAATGGTGTCGAGTACTGAACCTTATATATACTGTTTTCTCTTACACATAAATACCTATGATAAAATTTAATTTATAAATTAGGCATAGTAACAAGTTAACAGTAACTGAGAAAACAATTATAACAATATACAGTAATTCAAGTTATAGGAATGTAGTCTCTTTCAAAGTATCTTATTGCTTAAGAAAAAAAAAAAGAAGTGGTTGGCCATTCTTTCTTCAAATACCTTCTTTCTCTGGTTTCCTTTTCTTGGAACTCCTGTCATCCACAGAACATGTATCAGTATGGCAAGGTTCTCAAGCCACCTTCCATCTTGCCATCTTTCTCTCTCACTGCCACCTTCTATGTGACCGTCTCAGCTCTAACTTCCCATTTACTAACCCTTTCTTGGACTTTAAGTTAATACTTAGCTCTCTACGAAGTTTCTTGTTTTAAGAGCTATATTCTTTCTTTCCAAGATTTCTAATCGGTTCTTTCTTATGTCTAATCTTTGTTCTTAAGGGTACCAGACCCTCTTTTATCTCTCTGATGCAAAAACAAATGCTCATTTTTAAAGCCTTTTAGGCTGTTACTATTTCAGTTTCCTTGGGTATAAATCCTCCCACTTGGGTTACTGGTCATTCTTTAAGACATGGATGTTCTCATGTATTTTGTAATTTTTGTTTGAGTGTTCACGATGCATGGTACTTTCTGTTTTTCCTTACAGGACAACATCCAGGGTCATAAAATCAGAAGCACACGTTTCGTTAGCTCTCGGGACTGTGGTACTGTTGGATAACCTTACTCTAGTCCCAGAGCTGGTGCTGAGTGGCAGCCTAGTTGCCAGTCACTGGGTATCCAAGTCCTTCCACTGCTGCAGACAAGCATCCTGTTTCCAATCGCAATCCCAGGAGATGCAGGGAGTCTTTTCACCCCTTTTTTCACAGGAAAAGAAGTCTGGCTTCAGTTTTACCAACTGGATAGAGGGAGCCTGGCTCCAGTCCTGCATGTACCCCTGGATCTAGGAAATACTGGAAAGGCTTCTGCCCCATGTGGGAGTCAGAGTCTTGGTCTTGTCTTACTACTCAGTGCAGAAGCTGGCTACCTACCACTTTAGCCCTCACCCACAGCTAGAAGTTTCTGTTCCTTTTCCACACAGGAATTACCTTCCAAGAATAGTTGCTAATTTTAACTTAAAGGGTTTTTCACTGGTTGTGTGAGTGTGCTTGTCTCTGTGTGCAAAAACCCACTCTGCCTCTATGACCAGAGTGCTTGGCACTGTCTGCCAGAAACGGGCCATTGTGTTTCTGGAATAGGAGAGGAAGAACACACTGAATGGCTTAGGGCAGAGGCAGGAGGCTCAAGGGGAAATCCCAAAGGAAACTCAAGGGTTTAACCATCCTGGAGGAGATGCAAGTCTAGTTGGCCACAAGTCCTACAGTCAGAGATGATAGCCAGCCAGTTACCCTGGAGAGTCTGCTCCACAGAAGAGGCTCATGTCCTAAAGCCAGAACCTTGGGGATCTAAAGTCCATGACCACACCTGAATCCCAGCCTACAATATCCCCGTCTCTAGCAGAATGGGCCACCCCTTCCATGCAAGGGCTCTGTCCCAAGAGAGCCGTAGTCTAGCTCTGACTGGTGGAGCAGGGAGAGGGGCTGCCTGGGGCTGGGCAGAGTGGGGAACACAGTGCCAGCAGCCTCAAATCTAGAGTTGCCCTGAGTTGGGGTTTGCCAAGGTCCACTCTCTCTCACACTGTGAGAAGACCCCAGAGAACCAGGGTGGGAGTCTCTCCAGCTACTCCACAGACTACTACAAGGCCTAGGCCTGGGGGAGGTCTTAAAAGAACTCTCTCAGACCCTGTCTCTATCACCCAAGGATCTTGAGATGACCACACTGACCATGGACTGGGCCAGGACTTGGACACAGAAGGCAGCACTGAGCGTTCCCCACCCCTCCAGCCTTAACATGCCCAGCCCAACACAGGGGTTATTCATACTAAGTACCACCTCTGCAGTCACCCTGTCGTGGAGCCCAAATCCATAGTACCCCCAGGCTGAGGAAATACATGACAGATTTCTGCCACACACAGGGGTTTTCTTGTCTATCTCCAGAGATTTTTTTTTTCCAAGTTCAACATGCATACATATATACAGACATATATACATACATATGTACAGACACAGGCACACCGAGAGTTGCTGCTGTTCTGCCTCCATTTAGAATGGCAGGGGCCACTCAGGAGACAAGTAGCTGACCTCACCCATGGGGGTTTCAGACTTGACAGGAAGGGAGTCTCTGCTCAGAAGCCAAACTGGAGGCGATGGCAAGCCTCACCCCGATCCCTGCCCAAGAACACCCCCTGCAGGACAGGCCTGACAGGCACGTGGCAGGGCAGGGCATGCCTCAATCGGAGTCACAGGCCTTCTGTTCGGTGGCAGCGTCCACTGCAGAGGCTAGGCTGTCTTCCTGACCTTTCAGTCTTTCACCTGGGATGGATGGCAGACAGAAGTGGTGGGGAGGGGCCCTGTGCTTGGGCCACCACCCAGAGGGCAGGACCCCACCTTGCCAGGCCCTGCACTTACGGATCAGCTCGGCGATGGCCCTCTGAGTCCTCTTTTTTAGTTTCTCCAGCTTCTTGGCCACATCTCTCTTGAGGTCCCTGGAGCAGGGAGGCAAAGAGAAGCAGACGGCTGAAGGCTGGTCTGGTGTGGTCTTGGGCCCCCTCCTCTCCTTTTGTGGCCCTGTGGCATTAGGAGTCATGCTTGGTTGCTTGAGGGGGCTGCCCTGGGGAAGAGGCCAGGACATTCCCCCTCTATACGCTCCGAAACCTAGCCCCAGCCATCCTTCCCTGTCCCACTGAGGCAGGGGGACTAGCACCACAGACCCACCCAACACAAGGGGCTGAAACAAGGCATGCAAAGATGGATGGTTTCTCAGGGACCCTCTCTTGGTCTGGTCCTCTGGTCACTATAGGGGGTGACTTGCTCTGGCCCACTGTGGGCCCTGCTCCTCCTCCAGCCACAGGCCCAGCACCTCAACTGTGGGTATCCAGAAGTGCACAAGCAGTCAGTCCGTTCTCTCTGGCTCTGCATTTCCCAGGACATATGCTTTGTTTCATCGAATTAAAACAACCTCAGCTGGTGACGAGAGGGATACAGCCCTACCGCCACAGCACCCTCTCCTACTCTGTCCCAGAGTAGCAAGAAGGATGACGACCTCTGTTTCAGAGGGGAGGGAACCAGAGCCAGAGGGAACCAGAGCCAGAGGGAACACGCTGCGGTTGTAGAACAGGAAGAGAAAACTGTGTCTGCCCTTCCTTCCACCCCGGGCCCCCAAGGACAGCGGTTGGCCTTGCTCAGATGGGCGCTCTGGTGCAGATGGTTCTCAGCCTCTCAGAAGGGCCTTCGTGAGGAGCCTGCTGCTTCCTGTGCCTGAGCCCCTCTCCATCACTCCCCTCCCATCCCGCCACGTATGTCCTCCTCAGCACTGGTTCCCAACAGTAGCCATCTCATGTAACTCTATGTCAGTACTGCCAGTCTCCGCACCATGTGGATGGAAAGAGCCAAGCCCCAGGCCCACGCTGGCACCAAGAGCCCCCAAGTCGGCCTGCACCAGTCCCGCACAGCCAACACTCACCAGTCAGGCTTCCGAGGAGCGAGGTTGGCCAGATCCTGAAGAGGGAGGAGACACACATCAGGATGGAGAGGCTGCCCCAGGGGAAGGAGGAGGGCAGGCTAGAGAGGGAGAGAAATGGGAGAAAGAGGAGGAGGAAGGAGAGGGACAAGGACAAAGAGGCAGGTGGCAAGGGAATAAAGAAGTGACAAGAAGGAAGCAGGCAGAGGGAGAGCAGGTGGGGAAGAGAAACAGGACACACAGAAGCAGCAAGGAGGCCAGGGCAGCCCAGGCACTCACCACCTCCTCGATGACAGGCTCGGGCTTGGCGGCCTCCAACTGCTCCTTCACCTTCTCTTCCACTAGAGGGTGCAAGACAACAGAGGAAGCCTGTGAGAAAGGCGCTGCCACTCTGCAGGGACACTGCCTGCTGTGGCCCCCGAGGAGAGATGGGACCCCAGGCTTCCTTGCTCCCACCTCTCCATGGCCCCCAACCAGCCAGAGGTGAAGACCCTGCAAAGGCAGCTCTGGAGAAGGGGCCTGGGTTTCCCAAGATGACGGCAATCCCCATGGCCGAGAATGGGACAGCGGGAGGCAGCAACCCACAGTCAGTCAGGAAGCATGGACACTGACAAGCGCTGCCTGGATACATACAAAGTGAGGCCCAGCTTCTCACATCATCCCAGGGCTCCTGGGCTCTGAGGATGTCCTCTGGGTCCCGGCCTAGCCAGAGCCACAGGGGGCTTTTCCTCCATCCCACCTCAGGTGTGTGCTCCTAAGACCAGGGCATAGGCACCTCCCAGCTCCTCCAAGCTGCTGCCAGCACAGTGGGCCTCTGAGAGGTCTGACCAGGAGGGTCCTGCCCCTTGGGGACAAATGCAGAAGCACTAACAACTCCGGGCTCTGTGGGCTTCCTCCAGCCCCTGGCACCCAGTGGGCCCATGAGTGCTCTTCCTGCTCTGCATCACCTCCCTCCAGACACAGATGAGAACTGAGGGCTGCCCCTGACCTGAGGCGCGGGGCCAGTTCCTCACCCTCCTCTGTCCTGCCTCTGTCCCCCACTGCACCATTACCCTAGCAGGTAGGGCCCAAAACACAAAGCAAATCACAGGGAAGTGTCTGGATGTCATGGATGAAAGAGGTGGGGACGGAGACTAGAATGTGACTGAACAGGCAACACTTTACTTTTTACCAAGATAAATGTATTTATTCACTCATTACTTGTCCAGTTAAAAGAAAGTCGATAACAAGGCCAGGCATGGTGGCTCACACCTGGAATCACAATACTTCAGGAGGCCAAGGTGGGTGGATCACTTGAGATCAGGAGTTTGAGACCAGCCTGGCCACACAGTGAAACCCTGTCTCTACTAAAAACACAAAAATTAGCCAGGCGTGGTGGTGCGCACCTATAATCTCGCTTCTCAGGAGGCTGAGGTTACAGTGAGCTGAGATTATGCCACTGAACTCCAGCCTAGGTGACAGAGCGAGACTCCGTCTCAAAAACAAAACAAACAAACAAAAAAAACCCCACTAATGTAAAGAATTAAAATGGGTAGCCTCTGGGCAAGGGCCCAGGGATCCGCAAGACTAAGAAGCTTCCTGGCATGTGTGGACACCCAGAGTTCCTGGTGGCTACGCTGCTCCTATGCCATGGCAAGAGACTAGGCAAGCCCCAGGCCCTCTCCCCTGCCTCAATGCTCCACATTGCCTGTCCACTGCTGTGCATGGCTGAATGACTGGCCCCTGTCTCTGATCCACCCAGGGCCCACAGGACCCATCACCCCGCCCTGCTGCTCAAAGGCCCCATGACCACATCTACTTCTCAGCCCAGGAGTCCTGTGAGAGGATGTGGCTTCTTTCAGACCCCACTCAGATCCCTGGAAGGCCTCGGCCTCAGGGTGTGAGCAGGACGGAGAAGGCGTAAGAGGCCTCCTCAGTGCCCAGACAGCCTCTGCTGCCACCAAAGGCCAACTATGTGTGCATCTGCCATGAGATGGTGACAAAGGGTCCTGCCTGCAGGCCCAACTCCTGTCCTGGTACTGCTGGTTATTCTCTAACAAGAGAGAGCAAAGCCTGCCGAGGCGGAGGGCAGCTGACAGTGCCAGGGAGCCGAGGTGGAGGGAGGCAGCCCGCTTACCTGCAACCGGTTTGGCCTGGGGCACCCTCCTCTTCTTCAGGTCCTCATCCTCCGGGACATAGTTCCGCAGTCTAAGTTCCCTGCAAGGACAGAGAGAACAAGCAAAGACAAAGTCAGTATGTGACATGGTCTCATTCATTCACTCATACAACTTGCATAGCCCGTGACTTCCCGACTTTCCTCTGCGCTCTCCGGAGATGGCCTGGTGAGGAGGAAATGCACAGAACGGAGTATCATCAGGCAGGCCCCTTGGCACCGTCCCCTGCCACTTGGCAGGAATGGCTACCCTTCAGAGGTCCTGTCTACTCTGTTGGAGTATGGTTCTCTTTCAGAGCTGGGCCAAGGAGGCCTAGGGAGCATCCACAGGGTGTCTCCTGGATCATCCCATTTGACAGCTAAGGGGACTGGAGGTCAGAGAGACCGCACCCTTTTCATAAGATCACAGCAGTGGCTACACATCTGAGCTCAAGGCAAGGTATGACTCCCGGCCAGGGCTAAAGCTCCTGGGCTGAGTGATTCCTAAAAGAGAAGGCCAGTGGCCACCCACGAGTTCCCCAAGTCTGGTCCTCTTCAGAGCCTTCCTGCCCTGGGGCTCATGCCACCAAGTACATCTCAACTGCGTAAAGAAAAGCATCTGGGTGTGCTGCGCCAGGGGCACGTGGCAGTGAGTGAGGAAGAGTGACGTGTGGACAGGCAAGCAAGTGCTGGGGAGCTCCAGAGGGGCGCGGCTGCCTACAGCCGTGGAAATGTGAAGGGGAAGGACTCCAGGAGGAGGTAGCACCTGGGCCTGCAGAGGATGTGGACAGGGTCAAGGCACAAAGCACATGAGAGGACTGCTGGGAGTGGCCCGTGAGGGCTGTGAAAACAGGCATGGCCATGTGCAAGGCTGGGAAGGCCACAGTCCACCTGGGAAGGCCACAGTCTCAGAAGCACTGAGAACTGCACAGCCCCCAAGGCCTCTGTGAAGAGAGAGGAGCCACAGGGGCCAGAATCGCCCAGCGGCAGCTGCAGCTAGTTACCGTGTTTTTATTTTCTTCCCGCCTCGGTCTTTTCAGGCAGGGGTGGCTGAGCCAAGAACTCACTAGGGTCAGGGGCTCATCAAATCCCAGCCCCCTACACACAGAAGCAGGCTCCCAGGAGGAGGTGTCCCTGGCAACTCTGCAGGGCGAGAGGTCCTGGGAGCTGCTGGGTCTAAGAAAGGCAAGGCAGAGGCAGTGGGATAGACCTCTAACCCTGGGGGATACAGGAGTGGCCCCTCAGATGCTGGCCAGGTGAGACTAGGCCGCGGGTCCTCCTTCCTCAGTACCTCTTTCAGTTCTTGACCGCTGGTCCCTCAGTAGAGTCCTAGGCCTCTAAGGCAGGAAACAACTTCCCAGCAGGCCTCCCACAGTCTCCATCTCCCAAGCCCTCTATCTGGACCAGGTAAAAGTGCTGCTGACTTCCTAAGGCCCTGTGAAAGCAAGCTTTCCCAGAGGCAAGGCAGTGGGTGTCTGCAGCCACACAGCTAGCTAGCGGTGGTGCTTTGGACTTAGGGGTTTTCAAATGCCATTCATTCTCCTATTCAAGAGCTCCACCTGCTTCCTGCCCCAAGCTCACTTACCATCTCCTTCCCTCCTGCCAGGGCCCCTGGGCGTGAAGCCTTTGGGCTGGGCTGAACCACTAGGGGATGGCGGGGTGGGGCAGTACCAGCATCATCCGTGTCGAGGAAGCCCACCTGCATTCCCAGAGCCTGCTTCCTCTAAGGAGCAGAGACACCCCACCCTGTCCCCCATCCTTGAACGCTCGCCTTGGGCTGGGGGTACATGTCAGGTCACGGAGGTACAGGGAGACAAAGTAGGGCATGACTGGGTGCAAAGGCTTTCGTTCACAACAGGGTGGGGAGAAATGAGGAAGAGAAACTGGGTGTGGGAAGAAAACTGCAAGGATTAGTAAGAAAAAGAACTGTCACTTTCAGAAACCGTCTCCAAAGTTCTGTGAGAAATCAGCAGGAGAGAGGAGAGGCCAGAGGGAACTGTACCCAGAGCTCACAGCAGCAACAGGCACCCATGCCTCCAGCCCTACCCACTGCCCAAGGCTTCAGAAGGCTGACAAGAGTACGAAGCCAGAAGCAAGAGGCGGGAGCAGAGCCTTGCACCCACTGTGCCCTGCCACCCCAGAGCACTGGCGAAGCAGCCAAGAACACCGAGGTCCCAAACACTATGGGAAGGTCCCATTCTGCGCCTGTTTCCACATTTAGAAACACCAAGGCTGTGCTGGGTGCATCCAGCCCCATCACGCCCTCCCCAGACACACTCTTGGAGAGCTAATCTGATGTGCAGCCACTGTTGTGTGATCGCGTGAAAATGATGCAGTCTCTCTGACCTCCAGTGCCCTTAGCTTGGAGAGCTAAGTGACTTTCCCTCCCTAATGCCCACTTAACTGCCCACCCCTGAAATTCTACCATTACCAAAGGGCAGGAGTCTCTGGGAGAGGAAAAGGAGCACGGGGTACGGCTTGGGGACCTGGCCTTTCCAACACAGGCCCAAGATTTAACCTCCCTTATAAAGGGAGATTAAAGGCCGGGCGCGGTGGCTCAAGCCTGTAATCCCAGCACTTTGGGAGGCCGAGGCGGGTGGATCAAGAGGTCAGGAGATCGAGACCATCCTGGTCAACATGGTGAAACCCCGTCTCTACTAAAAATACAAAAAATTAGCTGGGCATGGTGGCGCATGCCTGTAATCCCAGCTACTCGGGAGGCTGAGGCAAGAGAATTGCCTGAACCCAGGAGGCGGAGGTTGCAGTGAGCCGAGATTGCGCCATTGCACTCCAGCCTGGGTAACAAGAGCGAAACTCCGTCTCAAAAAAAAAAAAAAAAAAAAAAGGGAGGTTAAATCATGGGCAGCTTAACAAACCTGACAGCAAACATATTTTTAAAAATCTATTTCAGCTGGGCCCAGAGGCTCATGCCTGTTAAGTCCAGCACTTTGAGAGGCTAAGGTCAGGAGTTTAAGCCAGGCCTGGCCAACATGGCAAAACCCTGTCTCTACTAAAATTACAAAAACTAGCAGGATGTGGTGGCACACACCTGTAATCTCAGTTATTTGGGAGGCTAAGGCAGGAGAATTGCTTGAACCTGAAAGGCAAAGGTTGCAGTGAGCCAAGATCGCACCACTGCACTCTATCCTAAGCTGCAGACTGTCTAAAAAAAAAAAAAAAATACACACACACACACAGTATATATATAATTATATATCTATATATATAATTTTTTTTAATTGTCCTTGGAGAAACAACAAGACAACAAGGATTCCAGGGGCCGCAATCATGGAGATGAGGGAAGTACAACAAAGTGAGCCTGACATCACGCCCCTCTTTCTCCTGAAAGTGTCTATTTACATGCAACAGCTGAAAAGGTGAGAGTGAGCGGAGCTTCCTATTAGGTTGGTACAAAAATAACTGCGGTTTTTGTCATTAAACATAGTGGCAGAAGCCACAATTACTTTTGCACCAACCTCATACAATTTCATGGGCCTGAATAGGAGAAAAAAAATGTACGTTAAGGGCAGAAACTAAAGCTGACCGCTGACTTGTAACTGAAACTATGGAAACCGTAAGACAATGAAATGGTATCTCAGAAGGGCGGACAAAATAAATGTCACGTAAGTGTGGACAAAATAAATTCTAAATCTAGTTAAGAAGCCTTCATGAGAAAGACTTTTCCAGACAAAGAGAAGTTAGAAGAATTAGTCATCAGTGGATCTGTTATTCAAGAAATACTAAAAGGAATGCTTTAGGCTGGAGGAAAATGATTTCAGACAGAAATATGGAATTGCAGGGAAAAATAAAATGCCTCAGAAAGGGTAAATACAGTGGCTTGCACCTATAATCCCAGCTTGGGAGGCTAAGGCAGGAGGATTACTGGAGCCAGGCTGCAGAGGGCTATGATCACACTACTGCACTCCAGCCGGGGTGACAGAGCAAGACCCCGTCTCAAAAAAAAGCAGGGGGGAAAGGGGTAAATACACGGGTAAATTTAAGTGAATATTGACTGTATAAAATAGTAATAATGATTTAGAGGATTTAAAATGCAGCAACAATAGTACAAAAGGCAGAAAGAGTGGCAAACAGCCTTGAAGTGTTTTAAGGTCCTAGCACTGTATAGGAAATGGTAAAATCGCTACTATTTTCTATTAGACCTTGATAAGTTAAGGATGTATGTTGTTTCCACTATGGAAATTACTAAAAGAAAGGGAAGAGAGTGTACAATTAACAAGTTAACAAAGGAAGAAAGTGCAATGATTAAAAATAAAAAAATCCAAAAGCAGACAAGAATCGAGATTAGAAAGGAAAGTCAAGAAGCAAATAGTCAGACAACAGGTTCATACACAAAGCAGGCCCAGGCCGCCATTCTAGGGGCTCCCATAGCCTTACAGCGTCCAGGGCCGCCACAGCTCTTGGAGACTGGGCAGGGTGTAACGACACAGTACCAGCCAGACCATCAGGGCAGGCTGACACCTGATATCTTGTCAGCTGGCCAGGAAATGCTGAAGCTGCCTGCACTCACCAGCAGTCACTGGCATCTGGAAGCCACCTTTCTGAGGACCACTGGAGCCAAACACTGGTTCTGCCACCCCAATTTAAGCATGAGGAGGTTGCTAAGGGGAGAAGGTACTAGCTCTAGCTAGAAGAAAAGAAAGAAAAACAAAAATGCTGACAGTGGTTCTCTCTAGGAGTGACTTCTCTTATAAGAGATGGGGTCTCAGTCGGGCACAGTGGCTCATGCCTGTAATCCCAGCACTGTGGGAGGCTGAAGCAAGTGGATCACCTGCAGTCAGGAGATTGAGACCAGCCTGGCCAACCAATATGGTGAAACCCCATCTCTACTAAAAATACAAAAAATTAGCCGGGTGTGGTGGCGGGTGCCTGTAATCCCAGCTACTTGGGAGGCTGAGGCAGAAGAATCACTTGAACCAGGGAGGTGAAGGTTGCAGTGAGCTGAGATCATGCCATTGCACTCCAGCCTGGGCGAGAAGAGCAACACTTCATCTCAAAAAACAAAACAAAACAAAAAAACAACAACAACAGACAGAGAGATGGGGTTTCACTATGTTGCTCAGGCTGGACTCAATCTCCTGGGCTCAAGCAATCATCCTGTCTCAGCCTCCTGAATAGCTGGGACTACAGGTGTGAGCCACCACACCCAGCTCTAAGTAATTTTTACTTGCTTTGATTTTCTGTAGTTTCCAGAATTTCTAATCAGTATTCTTTCTACACAGAAACAACCAACCAAGTAGTCAAAAGGAAACCTAAAGAAGAAACAGGCAGAGGCACCAGAAGGCAGCAGAGGACTGTGGCAGGGTTCCGAGTCAGGCAGCACCAGCACCTCAGCTCTGGTGGCATCCAGCTTCTGTGGTTTAGGGCCAGGGAAAGCAGAGACCAAAGGGAAGCAGAGACCAGGCCATGCTTTCGGGGCTTTCTGCTCCAGTCTATGGAAAGAAGGCAGCCCAGAAAGCCCAATGGCTTCTAAGACACTATCCTTTGCACCAAATGCCCTAGGCCAGTCACAATCCACCCTATACCGGCAGCCAGTGTCTGGGTAGAGCTTTGCTATACCTCCACAGGAGCAGACACAGCAGCCACCTCAGTGCCTCCACTGGCACCCCCTCTGACTCAGGGCCCCCAGTGTCCCCAAGACGAGTCTACGCTTCTTTATATGGTCCTGAACCACAGCCTGCACACCCAGCAAATGTCCCTGGGGACACTCCAGGGACCAGCCCTGTCAGTTACACACTTCCCTGTCCATCATGCTTCAAGAGCCAGCTCAAGGAGGTGGCCCAGTGGGCCCCTCCCAGTGTCCCTACTCACCCTGAGGCACAGTGACCGCCCTTCTCCTGCACCCTCTTTGCCCCACTTGCCTCTCTACCCTCTCTGCAGCAGCCCCACTCCATGCATGTGGTCCGGTGACAGCTGCATATCTGTCCTTCACAACCTGCCCTAAAGGTACCAGGCAGCTCCAGGAGGGGCTCAACACACATTTGCTCCAAGCTGAAAAAAGGAATTCAGAAGGCACTCAGGAAAGAGCTTTATGGGTGGCCTGGGGGTCTCTGAGCCTTTCAATGACTTGGGAAGACATTTGGAAGCAAAGAAGTTGTGCCCAGCAGATAGAGAGGGCAGGAAATGTGGCTGGGCTGGGGCAGCCAACCCCTAAGCAACTTCTTTGTGGCAAAGCAATGGGACAACACCAAGTTTGCATTCTATTGAGTTTCCTTCTGTCTCCTCCTAAAATGGGTAGCCAACCTTTTCTATTTCCTTTACTCTGCTCCAGGCCAGCTGCAGGAGCCTCCAACATGGGCTGGCCAGGGAGGTTCAGGGGAAATCACCCCTAGGGTGCTTTTTCCACACACCTTCCATACGTGCCCTGAGTGGAAGCAGGTGGAGAAAGATGATGTTCTCTAAGTATAGAACCAGAGTAGAGTTCTAGAACGGCGAAATGAAAGGAAGCTTTGAGATTATGAATCTGATCCAACCCCATCCCTGGCAAACTGACCTCAGAGAAAGTCTGCACTGCTCATGGGGGTTTCATGGCCCCTGGTCCACTTCACTCACTCATGCTACCAAGCTTACCCTTTGGGGCACTAGCCTCTCTTCTCATCCCTTATATCTTGAGGCCACTCCACATTCACCCCCTACCCTGGGCCCCTGGAGGGAGGTAGAGACAGGACAAGAACCGGGCAGTCCCACATGGCCTGTTCCCTGACAAGGTCCTCCACCTGGCCACCCCGTCCCTCCTGCCCATACAGGCCCCCTTAGGTGCCAGAGAGAGAGCTGCCGTGAGGCATCCCTCCTAGTAACAGACCACAGGGAAGACCACACCCAGGATGGGCCTGCAGGCCCTGCAGAGGCCAGCACTGGCCAGAGAGACAGGCAACTTTGATCAAAGAACACTTTTATTTTTAATATTCAGAGTACAGAGACACTGGAGCTCTGCCAGGAAAACACACAACACTCAAACACGCCCCTAATAACCCTCTGTTTGCTTTAGGCTCTGCACATAGAGACCGACCCCTTGTCCCCAACATAAATAACAAGACTTCGCTCGCTGCTGCCAGAGGCCAAACCCGAGAGAAGCATGCAAATGAGGGGAGAGGCAACTACCTCAAATGATGTACACAACTGCTCTACAGGCTGATCTGGTCTTTCTCTCAAGAGCCATTAAAATGTTCAAACCCCTTGACCCAGTAACCCTGCTCTGGGGAAATTATTCCATAGAAATAGTAACAGAACAGGGGGAAGCAAAACAAAGCATTCTACATACACACGATCCTGGCAGCAGGATTCATAATAGCTATGGCACCTCTGGGCTCTCTTCTGGCAGAGTGCCCTACAGTGGCCTAAAGTACCACCACACTGTGAGGGCAAAGAACAATTTAGTACAGGTAAGGTACAGATCAGGAGAGAAGGCAGATACTGAAAACAGACAAGCTATGGAGGGATGTTTTTGTTTGGAGAGGACTGTCCTTCAGCTGTCACCCAGCAAGGCAACTGTGGCCCCACCCTGAAAATCGGGCACAGTGTAGGGCGATAAAAGCTCTCTTCTCCTCTCTTATCCAGCCCACCCCAGGCCTCCTGCCCTTCTAGCCACACAGAGGACAAGGTCTACTGGAGCACATCACACAAGAAGTGACCACAGGCAGGACAGGGCCACATCACAGCCCCAGGGGGTGGACAGGCCTCCAAGCAAGCCCTGGCAAACATGTCCTCGGAGGGTTTCGGAAAAAGGGGTGGGAGCTCCTTTGTGCCCCCACCTGAAACTGCAGACCATAAAGCATGGGATAACGTGTCCTCCCCAGCAGAGGCAGCCTCCACACATGGCCTCTCAGAGGCCACCTCTCTTCCACAGAGAGGTTGTCACTGACATTTTCTCAATGTGGAAAACAGTCCAGAAAGATTCTCCAAGGTGCCTGAGTTGAAGGAGGAGCCAGAGGCAGAATCCAAACCCTGGTCTCTGGCTTGGGGTGGACCCCACACCAGCTTCCTGCATCTGGCTCCTCGGGGACCAGCAATCACCGCAAAGGAGTAAAGCTATCTGATGCAGTGACTGGGGTCTGGCCAGGCTGCAGATGGCTCTGCCAGGGCTCTGGGCACTCAGCATTCCTCAAGGGAAAAACTCCTGCAGCCCACCCCACGGTGGAGTTTAGCCTACAGCATCATCTTGCAAACTCCCTCCCTCAACAGGAGCCCAGCCTCTCAGCTCTCCCAATTGCCTGGAGAAGCCTTCCTCAGCCCTAAAAATTACAATGGGCTATAAGTCTTAGAGGCAGAAAGAGCTTCAGAAGTAGTATAGTCAAGCCCTTGCCTTAAAAACAATGAGGCCAGAGGAGCCAGAGCTGGCTGGGGATGAGATCTGCATGGGCGCCCCCACCAAGACAGATCAACAGCTATGGCTATGTGTGGGCACCAAGGCCTGCCCAAAGGCCCCTGAGGGATGGCTTATAAACAGCCAACAGCTGCTCCAGGCAATGAGCAGGTCCAAGTGTTAGTTAAATGAGGCGAGCTGCCATCACGTCTGCCCATGTGGTCTGCAGCCGCTCTCATCCTGGACACTGCAGAACCTAACCACGGTGCTCTACATTGACAAGTTGAACCTTGAACCATCCAACCCAAAAACCCATAGCCAGTGGGTACTGAAGGAATTAGAAAAAAACTGATACGCCAAAAACAAAACAAAACAAAAAAACCCAGGACTAAAAAAAATGAATCATGGTACTTTCAAAGAAGTATTAAGCTGCCATAGATAATTTCATTAAAGTATATTTACCAAAAGATAGTCATGACACAGCACATGAAAAAAAGGTTACAGAACAGCAGGATATGCACAGATATATCTTCATCTGTAGTTTCTAAGTTTTCTACAAACAAAAAATCCCTAATTTATGTAAATATCATTTAAATTGTAAACGAAGAAAGGAGTAAAGGTTTATGGCAGAGAACCTAAGCCCCAAAGGACCCGTAAGAACTGGATTGGCCACATTGGCATGCTGGGCCCAGATGTTGGGGTATGGGGCCTGCACAGCCAGCCCACTGCCCCTCACCCACCCAGGGCCCGATCTAACCCACAGACCACTCTGGGAAAGTGGATGGTGCTTAACCTCATCAGGCTGCCCTGAGCAGCAAACTGCCAGCCGCTGCTGTACCCTGACAAAGAAAGATTCCTTTTTTCCCCACACAGGGAAGGGTCTCAGGGACAGCTCCACTCCCTTTCAAAAGCTGGGAGATTTTAGTCAAGTCACTTCACCTGCCTGGACTGTGGTTTCTTCACCTATAAAGGCAGATCACACTGAGTCCCAGAAGAGAGGTGAAGATTTCCTAAGAGGCACTTCGGAAGCTAAGATTGGGACACACAAGGTATCAGGACTCATGGCCCACAGAAAGGACTGGGCTGTGCTCCTACCGCACCCCTACCCAGAAGGGAGGGGCCCAGTGCCAGCACACGGTGAGTCGCCTTCACCATCTTCCTTAAACCAGTTCTCTCTTGATTCATTCTCCCACATTCCCAGGCCTATTCCCGAGAAACAGGGACAGGAAAAATGAGCCATAGCAGGTCCCTGCCTGCTGCTTCAGCAGATCTCCACTGCCCACGACTGGGATATCCCCGGATGTAGACATCCTCTACAGCGGGACTGAAAGAACTCGGGAGGTGTGGATGGGAGCTGCCCTGCTGGTGCCACTAGAGTGGAGCAATATATGCCAAATCAAGCTGATGTCATGGATCAAACCACCATGATCTGTGCTCCACCCTGGTGTGTGGAAACCATCACTGGGGCCCAGCATGCAGAGCAGAGACATCTGGCATTGGCTGGACTCAAGGGTTTGGGCACTGGGCCAGGGCTGGGCCTTAGCAGGGGTGGGAAATCTCCACGAAAAGGTCATGCACACATTGAGCTGGGGAACAGATCTTCCATCTCTGAAGAAGGAAGGCTAGTGGCCCCAATTCTTTTGTAATATGTGACACCCAGCCTCAGTCAACTATCTCTGATGGCGACCGACTGCTCCAGCTATGCGCAGACCTCCACACAAAGCCATGGTAGGTGGTGGCTGTGGAGGCTGGGAGTTCGGGACTTGCTTGTTCAGGTACTCTCTGGCATTGGAGAAGGCGAGTGCTCCTGGTTAAGTGCCTCTCCCCTTCTCCTCCCACCTGTCAGCCCCAACCCAACAGTCCATCCCACAAGGCAGGGTGGCAATGGCTGTCAGCCACAAACCCTGCCCTAGACACACCTCCATGGCACATATCAGTCAACTTCCCAACAGGAAGAAGTGACAGAGCAATTAAAAAAAACAAAAACAAAAGCAGCTGACACAAACGCCCCTGCATGCCCTCTTCCATGGGCCGGCTTTCCAGGGCACATCTTATCAGGGCAGTACACAGGGGGGCTGGGAGAAGGGAGCTGCCTTAGAGATGGGTCATCCAGGCCGGGCGCGGTGGCTCAAGCCTGTAATCCCAGCACTTTGGGAGGCCGAGGCGGGTGGATCACGACGTCAAGAGATGGAGACCATCCTGGTCAACATGGTGAAACCCCGTCTCTACTAAAAATACAAAACATTAGCTGGGCATGGTGGCATGTGCCTGTAATCCCAGCTACTCAGGAGGCTGAGGCAGGAGAATTGCCTGAACCCGGGAGACGGAGGTTGCGGTGAGCCGAGATTGCACCATTGCACTCCAGCCTGGGTAACAAGAGCAAGACTCCATCTCAAAAAAAAAAAAAAAAAAAAAAAAAGAGATGGGTCATCCAAGCCTCTACAGAGTTAGCAACAAAAAGGCTGGCAGAGCCAGGGAAGCATCAGCCCAGAGAAGCAGGGGCCCATCTAGGGGTAGGAATGTATCCTTTCTTCTCACAGAGCCGAGGCTGGACGACCTGCTGGAGCTCACTCCCACCCACTGGGGATGTGGTTGTATGGGGATGGGACAGGATTTATCCCAGGAGAGTAATACAAATTTTAAAAAGGAATCTGAATCTATAGATTCAATGCAATTCTGACCAAAATCTTAGCAAGCTTTTTTTTCTTTTAATAGATATTAACAAGCTGACTATAAAATGTATAAGGAAAGGCAAAGGAACTGTTAGAACAGCTAAAATAATTCTGAAAAGGTCTCCTCAGGCAGTGGGGCAGGAACACAGGCAGGCAGGCAGGTGGCTTGTGGGACAAGGTCCTGGAATGGCTCCCGCCAATCGTGCTGGATTTTCATTTACTTAGCCACAAACCCTGGCCCTACAATGTTATCTGGTTAGACGAATGAATCTGCAAAATGAGGCCACTCAGCTTATTTCAAAGGACTATCTAATATATCAAATAAGCGAGGCTCTGCAAAGTGGTTCCTAATCACAAACCTCTAGGTCACGTCTGCTTCTTTCTACTCCCATCCACTGCCTCACATGTCCCCCAACTGTTGCCTTATTTGCAAAGTTGGCACATGCTTTATGTAAAGGCATGTCCAGAGTCTTTAACTCTCTCGGGAGGGCCTCACGGTGCCTTCCTTCTGCCCAGAGCCTCAGCACTAGCTGGGAAGCAGGTATGGCATCTGCTCTGTTCAAGTGAAGCAAGCTTTATTTTTATTTTTTCCATCTTTGGTTGAAGATACTGAGGCTCACTGAGGCAATGTGACTTGCCTAGGGTTAGAGAATTAATAATTGGCAGGGCTTGGCCTCAAACCCAGGAACCACTTCCAAAGCCTGACCTTGCTCCATCTGTCTCGGTCCTTTCATTTCAGGGACTGCTGCTGGACCAAGAATCTTTTCATCATGTGTTCTTTCCCTAAGTCCCTAAATTTAAAAAAAAAAAAAAATTTTAAGCATGATGAACTAGCTACATCAATATATGGAACTGACCACCAGGCCTCTGCAAGGGACACTGGGTGACCTGGAGGGTAACTGAGGAAGACGGACCCTGCTCTCTGCCAGCTAATGGGACATAGGGAGCCGAGGCACTCACAGGCAGCAGGCGCTGGGATCACCCAGTCATTCAAGTTCAGAGCTGAGTGGCAGTATGGGATGGAATGACTCAGGGAGGAATCCTGGTCAGGGCATAAGAGGAGAAACCAGGGAGGAAGGGGAAGAGGAGGGTACCCACTCCATCTCCCTGCAGAGCCTGAGTCAGGAGAGCATCAGAGACAACTCAGCCTTTCCCATCCAGATTGGGCCCTGGGTCTCAGATGCAGATCTGTGTAACTTCCTTGGCGTCACTCCTGAGATGGTGAGGGGGTCAGACTGGAAGGGGCTCCCAGGGACACTGTATAAAGAAAGAGTTGGGGTGATGTCCATTCATGCCTCCCCAACAAGAGGCTATTCCACCCATCCTTTACAGATTCATGCCTCTGGACCTTTGCTGCCCAAGCCTTAACCTCTGGATTCCAGACTTAAAAGGCAGGTTCTCCATGAGGCCTTGTCCCACTGAAAGCAGGATGGTGTTAGCTGAAGGCAGCCTAGAGCAGGCACCGTGCTCCTCTCAGCACACCCTGGAAAGACTGGTGCCGGCACGGTATCCCCCCGGCACCTGGGCTTAACCTAGAGTGACCCTGATTGAAGTGGGCTGTTCTCACCTCCCAGCAGCCGAGGAAGAGAGATGCTCGCTGGCGAATGTCCTCAGGGGTCATCCTTCCAATGGAGTGGAAGGTCACCTCTCTCCAGTGGCAAAGGAGGCTGTGGCAGGGGCTATGGCCTAGGGGGCTCTCTGAAATCAGTTCCCAATCCATAAGCATCCTGCATGAGAGCCTCTTACCAGACCTGGGGTACAAACAAAAGGCAACATCCTCCTCCCTGGATGGACACAGCCTCTGCTGCATCCTGCTCTTCCTGGGAAGCCCATCATGTCCAGCCCTGGACCCTGCAGTCTAAAGTGGAGTCCACATGGGTCTGGCCCTGTGTTAGGGCAACCAGTGTTCTAATCTGCCTTCCTAAATAACCTGAGCAAGCCCTTTGCTCTGCATCTGTTAGTCAGAAGAGTCTGTTTTTCTCTGGGGCCTACAGACACAGGCACAAGTCCTTCCTAAGACTAGGTTTCCTGGCAACCAAGGGAGTGATCCAAGTAGCAGGCCCTGCCAGGAAAGGGATGCTAGAAGTCCACCTGCCCAAAGTCTCAAGAAGTTCAGCCCCGCAAGCCAAGCTCCCAACTATTGGGAGGCAAATCCATTCCACCATGCTCTGTTGCCTCAGAAGAGGCCAGATTAGAGCAAAGCAGAAGAATATAATGAGCTGAAGCAGAACCCAGTTCAATGACTAGCATGGTTGGTTCCTGGGCTGCGGTGAGAAAACAGAACAGGGCCCAGCACCTACCCAGCTCAGTGGGCTCAGGACAAGGCCTATGAGCAGGTCTTGTGCTCCACTACAACTGACCTGTAAGACCTAGCAGGGAGCAGGTCCTCACAAGCCAGGGTCTCTTTTATCTAGAACTCACTGACAGGAACCTGGAACTACACATGCCCTTTGTTTTTTTCCACGCTGTTTTCATTATGATATATCTTGGGCACACAGAAAAGTTCAGAGAATAACGTAACACATGTACTCACCTCCTGAAGAGTCAATAAAAGCAACATTTTGCCATATTCAAGACAGGTTCGTCCCCCTCCTTTTTTCTTTTGTTAAAACAAAATCACACATCATTGGCCAGGCGCAGTGGCTTACGCCTGGAATTCCAACACTTTGGGAAGCCGAGATGGGTGGATTGTCTGAGCTCAGAAGTTCGAGACCAGCCTGGGCAATCTGGTCAAATTGTGTTGTTTTGGTACCAAAAAGTTAGCTGGGCATGGTGGCACGCACCTGTGGTCCCAGCTTCTTGGGAGGCTGAGGTGGGAAGGTCGTTTGAGCCTGAGAGGTGGAGGTTGCAGTGAGCTGAGATAGCGCCACTGCACTCCAGCCTTGGTGACAGAGTGAGACCCCATCTCAAAAAAAGAATAAAAACAAAAAAACCACACATGATGGAGCCTTTCCCTAATCCCGTGTCCTCCCTGCTTCCCCAGGCATGAATTGGAGTCATCACCCCTCATGTATGTATTTACACTTCTGCTTTCGCGTTCTTGGGAGCACCGGACACCTTATCACACACCTGCTTCTTTGTTAACAGCCTGTCTCCCTCCAGAAAATGTCAGTTCCATGAGGGTAGGGGCTGTACTCTGTCCGCTGTTGCCTTCCAGGGGCCCACAATGGTGCCCTGCACAGAGCAGACAACCAATAGTCGGTACTTGTTGACTGAGTAACACACACATATCATTTTGTGTTCCTGCCCTGCATGCCTCAATTCTGAAACCTGCTTTTTCCATCACTCAACATCACGTTTGAGATTCACAACCACATGGCTCAACATTCAAGCCTCTTACTGCTGTATGACCCACCTACCCGCTAACCAGTGACCCCTCTTTCTCAGGGAGGAGGAGGAGGAGGGAGATCAGAGAAAAAAACGCTAACACATCAAAGCCTAGAAACTGGAACTCAGGCTCCAACCAGAGTTCTAGACTTTAGGAACCTAAGAACAAACCAGAAGACCAAAGGGCCTCTAATACATAGTTACCACAGATTGGGAGAAACTGTGCCAGCAGCCACCCATAAAGCCACACATGCTGGGGTCACATGGCAAAGGAGGAACTAACTGGCCTTCCTCTTCCCATCACCAGCCAGGGACCTTCAAGAGCTGAGGACTAAGGCCCAGCAAAAAGCCCCAGGCCCAGCACCAGCAGACCCACTCACGGTTTAGCACCACCAGCCTCTCAGCGTAGAGAATGGCCAGGGTTGGCAAGGGCTGACCACAGAGGGCTCTGGCTAGAGGGAAGCTAGAAGAGGATGGATGAGGCCAGAGGGGCCACGCAGAGCTTCACAAGCCAGGTACAGAAGGGGCACAAACTTAGCAAGCAATGGAGAACCACGTCGTGAAAGGTGTGTGAGAATGGTAAAAAGGCATAATGTAAGGACTAAAAAGAAAATGCTGGGGGCTGTAACAGCCAGATGGAAAATGAGGGAAAGGAGGGAGAGAAGGCCTCAGAAGGAGAGTTGAGATTTTTTTTTTTTTTTTTTGGGGGGGACGGAGTTTCGCTCTTGTTACCCAGACTGGAGTGCAATGGCGCGATCTCGGCTCACCGCAACCTCCGCCTCCCAGGTTCAGGCAATTCTCCTGCCTCAGCCCCCTGAGTAGCTGGGACCACAGGCACGCGCCACCATGCCCAGCTAATTTTTTGTAGTTTTAGTAGAGACGGGGTTTCACCGTGTTGACCAGGATGGTCTCGATCTCTTGATCTCGTGATCCACCCGCCTCGGCCTCCCAAAGTGCTGGGATTACAGGCTTGAGCCACCGCGCCCAGCAAGAGAGTTGAGATTTTAAGGTCTGAACAAGGCAGCCATAGGCAGGGAGAAGAGGGGAGGGAACAGGGCAGAGACTGAACAGAGTTGAGAGGACCCAGAGACTGGGAGACTGATGAGTGCTGGAGTGGAGGGTAGAGCCTGGAGCTGCACATGGCATTACCTGTGCTTCTCGCCTTCTTCCTCCTCTTCTCTAAGTTGCTTGGTCTTTGGCTCCCCATCTTCCTTGTCCTGCAAAGGGAAAAAACCACCAGCTCAGCTGAAAGCACCTACTTCCAGTCCACACAGCCTAGGGAGCTAATAAACAGGACATCTCAGAAGCCAGGCACCTGGCATGGCCCAGGTTGGTGTCCCAGACTCCAAGCAGGGTACATGCCTGCTGCATCTCGCAGCACAACTGGAGCCTCACTGCCTGTGAAGAATTTAAAAATCCATGACTTCAGCCCAGTCCCAGGTACATGGTGGCCCTTAGAGGACACTAGCAGAAAGAGCTGGATGGCTTTAGGTGGTGAGAAATGCAGCCACTTGGTGCCGTGGAGGGGCCATGCTGGCAGGCCACCAGTCACCGTCATGGGTCTGGATGGAACCACTTGCTAAACTTGGAAAGACAGGGAAAAGAAGCACCAGCAGCCAGGGCAGGATGAGAGCTCAGCCTCCTGAGACACTTTTCAGGCCAGAGGCCTCTCCAGAAATACCTGTTTGGTTTGCTTTAGAAGTAACATGAACTAGGACCAGGCTTATAACAATAATCACTGCCCAGGCCTGTGCTACATTCAGGGAGACAGAGGCAAGGGGAATTAGTGTGAAGTTTCCATGAAAATTTTCTTAATCTGGTTCTTTTAACTTCCTACTATCTGCATCTCTTAAGTCCAGAGAATCATGTTCATTTCAACCTTGAGCTGTCATCCTTGTTCTCAGGTGCCCTGAGGGCCACAATAGAAGGAAATTACCATACTGCTTTTACCTGCAGCAGAAAACGTCTTCCTGGAGTCCTCCCTTATCATGTGATTGCCACTGTTAGGTCAGCCTGCCGTGGTCACACTGACACAGGGCGTGTGTGTGTATGCTCAATTCATGCGACCACGCCTTAGGCCCAGGGCATGGACTGAGAGGCCCCAAGACAGAGCTGTCGTGGGGTCTCACTGCATGCCAGCGTTGGCCCTCCAGAAAGTGACAATGCTCACTTCACTATGGCAGCGCCCTACCTTCAACTCTCACAGAGCACTATTCTGAGAGAGATTTGTGAGCTCCTTCCACAGGGAGTCTGCTCTGATGGACACAGAATGAGCTGGAGCTTGCACAGAAATTCTAAGTAAAACAGCTGCTCAAACTACCTTTCCTAGACGTTTATTCATGCCATTGACAACTTCGTTACTAAGAGTGGCATCTGCTTTATGTGGAGACTGCAAGCATCGACCAGACCCCGCCATTCCTTGGCCACACAACCTCTAGGGAGCAGGCTACCAAAACCAGGTTGGAGGCCTGGCCCAGAGAAGGGCTTTTGTCATGTGAACAGATCATGTGCCCACTGACCCAATTCAGGGCAGCTCATCTCATGGCAACGAGGCAGCAGGAACAAAATAACTGACCAAGTGACAGCAGCTACATGGGAGAGGTCAACATGAGGCATGGTTCTCGGGGGATGGGTGAGAGATGGGCTGGGCAGAATTGGGTGACACAGGATAGGGGAATCGGAGAGGGAAGGGCAGAGTTTGAACAAAGGCAGGGTGTGGTCTGAAGAGCCTGCAGGTGACTGAGGTTGGGGTAAGACAGGTGACGCCAGGTAAGACAGTCAAGGCAGGCAAGGGCTGAACACAGAGGGCTCTGGCCAGTGTTCTTAGGCAATGGACAAACAGAGGAGACACTGGGGAAGAGTCTGCCGACCTCTGCTGGGCAAGATGCTTAGTGATGGCCAAAGAGGGAAGGGAGAACAGAGTACAAATGCTTCACAGAAACAAGTGAGGATTCTCCAAATGGCTCCCAGGGCTGCTGGAACCTGGATGGGGCTTCCACAGGGGCCCTGCTGACACATGCAGCCCTCCTTGACTAAAGGCTAGCAGATAAAACAAGCCAGAGCCAGCACATTCTAGCAAAAAATTCCTTCCCGACTCCCAACCAGCGGACACCCTGAAAGCCACTCCCTGAAGTGCCTGCCTCACGGGAAGGAGTGGCAGACACCTGCCCTCTGGGTAAGGGAAGAGAAGGAAAAGCAGAAAGGGCTCTGCTTTCCCCACAGTGGGCTGGTGGGGGCAAGACCCCCAGCCACACAGGAAGACTCCTTTCCACAGGGGTTCCGTTAACCTGAACCACCTGGCAGAAGCAGGTGGGAACTACAGGCAAGTGTCTAGCCTTTGGGAGGAGTGCTTTGCAAATACCATGCCCTTTCTCAGCTCTCAAGCAAGGTCAAACAGCTGCCACCACCCTCCTGGAGTCCCAGAGACATTCAAGTGCCTCAGTAACAGTCAAGTTATTCATTAATAAATGAGAAAACACCAAACGATCTAAATGACTTTTTTAAAAAATGCCCAGCAATCTGGTGGGTGGGGTACAGCACTAGCTCTGCAGACAGCATGAGGTTAAAAATGACCCCAGCCTGGGTGCAAAGAGCAGGGGCTCAGAAAAGATAAAGATCTACATCTGTGGCAGGAGCAGGTAAACAAATGCACAGGCTACATAAGTGGGGGAGATGAGGTGGACCCCAGTCTTCCTCACAAAGAGTGATTCTCAGATAGGACAATGGGCATTTGTGGGAAGGAAAATCGCTTTTGGTGACGCTGGCCTGAATCACAAGGTGTGGCCCCTTGCTGCCTGGGATAGTGGAGGGAAGTGCAGACCAGTCTTGAAGCTCCCCACTACCTGACAGACTCAAAGAGCCTCAGCCCTGGAGGGCTCGCAGGATCACCCATTCTAGGTCCTCAATTTAACCCATGGGAAAACCTGGGAAATGGCAGTCAGGGAAAAGGAAAAGAGTTATCCAAAGTCACAGAATCTATCAGTGGTAGCTGCAAGTCTGGATCCAGGTCGTCCTGATGCCCGGCCCTGCGTTCTTACCAAGGAGATGAGAGAGAGAGAGAGAGGCTCTCAAGAATGGAAGAGTGGCACTGAGTTTCTAAAGAGCTCTGATTCCACCCGCCTCTCCTGTACTCCCCACACAGTTCAGACCTGGCCCTGTGTGCTCACGTGCAGCCACAGCTAGCCCAAGCCCAAGCCTAGGCCCTGCTGGACACTCAGTAGGAAAGCAGGCAGGGTCCCAGGTGCACAGCCTCCCCAGGAATCTAGACTTCGCTCACCCTGAGACCCTCAAATCAGACTCAATGCCTCGCCACTCCCACTCCCCACTCCCCACCCCCCACCCTTCCCAAATCTCACCATCTTCTCCCTCCTTCCCAACCCCTAGTCTCCTCTACCACCTCCTTAGGGCCCCACCACAACCAAGCGCCCAGCCACTCCTCTCCACTCTTGCCTGCCAGCCAGCCTTCCCCTCTACTCTTGAGAATACAGCTGCCTCCTGCATTTTCCCTCTCTTTTTCCAATATATCTCCCCTAAGTCTCTCTCCATCTTATCAATCCACATTCCCGGCCTCCTCTTCGAAGACACTGGTCAGACCACACTGCACTTCTGCTCAAAGCTTTCCACACCCCCAGGACAACAGCATTCAACTAAACCTCACACCTGCCTCACCAGGAGGTCATCTCCCAATGCCTCATCACCATCCCACGCTCCTTTCACACTGGCCTCTGTCCCGAACACTCTTACACCCCACATTTTTCTCAAATCCTGAAATATCTACTCTGATAGCCCCCAAGAAAACACACCATCTGGCCAGCTCAAAGGCCACCTCCTCAGGCAGCCTTCTAAGATTCCCAGGCAAAGGAATCCTCTGGGCCTCCCCAGCGCATATCAGGGTCTGACTGCAGGCCCAGGGCACAGGCCTGTGGCCACTCCTATTCACATGTAGGCTTCACTACCCCTTCAAGAACCTCTCAGCAGGGGACATCTCCTAGAGCATCTCAAGGTCTAGCCCAGAGCCTGGGCTAGACAACCTTCAGAAACTCTACCAGTTTAACTGCTACCCTCTCCACCAACTCCAGAAGAGTCAAACTCAGGAACGCTGGTGGCTGCAGGGCAGTAGAGTCATGGCCTGGGCTGGGGCCCTCCCCATAGCCTACTTGCCTATTAATGGAGGCACTCCCACATTTTTGACCCCTGCCCACATCTCCACGTCTTACACCCCTGCCCTCACTTCCCCCCAGAACCTTCAGGAGGAAGAAGCCTTTGAGGCAGGATTTCAGGGGTTCTCAAATATAGCCCTGCTCGGAACAGAGTTTGACTGACCTGTTTCCTAATGTTTGAAATCCTTTTTATTAGGGACAAAACTGTTACAAATAAAATTAGAGCTGTGTATAACTGGTATTATTTCTTCCTTAAATATTCAACAAGACTTCAGTGAAGCAGTCTTGGCCTGAAGCTTTCTTTGGGAAAAGATTTTGGCTATAGAACTATACAGATTTTGTATTTCTTCTCCAGTCAGTGTAGTTAATTTATGTCTTCCAAGATATATGTTTCACCTAAGTTACTGAATTTACTGGCACAAAGTGACTTATATTGTTCTCTTAATATCCTTTCAATGTCTGTACGATCTGTAGTGATGTTCACTGACATTGACAATTTGTGTCTTTTTTCTTTATCAGACCAGCTAGCGGTTTATCAGTTTTGGGACATACCTCCATCTCATCAGCTCAGACTCAGTGTTTCAACCATGGGCTTGCTCCTCAATCTCCTCTCTCTGGAAGGAGCCCTCATTGGATGAGTACGCCTGCCTCTGGATGGCACATGAAGTGTGCGGGAAGCATCAATCCACATTGCTGCCTGAATGTAGGACTACTGCTTAAAGCAGGTCAATCAACAACTAGGCCTACAGAAGAGAGGGAGGAAGAAGAGAGGCTGCTCTATGTCCTCCTGTTGCCCCGTCCCACCCAGATTAAGATGAAGATCTCTCTTTCCTTGCACCACATCCCCACCCCCCGCCGACCCCCACTCTCGTTTGTGGGCCAGGTCTACCTTGGGCACAAAGATAAAGAAAGTAAGAACACTGTCCTCAAGAATCTCAAGTCTACTCAAAGGAGCAGGCTTAGAAAATTTAACTCTGTGCCGTAAGTAGTGAGGAAAGTGTTACTAAATATCTTGTACACTTAGTGAATTAGTAAAGGATAGGTGTTGTCAGGGAAGGAAGTAACCCTTAAACTCAATTCTGAATGTCCACTGGGGATTACAAGGCAGCGTATTCCTGGGAGTGGTAACGGCCTACAAAGACATGAGAGCAGAGAAGAGCACTGACTGTCACAGCCTGCAGAGCAGGCCCACATGGCGAGCCCAGCCTTACCGGATGATGTCAGGGGCAGGGCTCACAAGGCATTCCTCCAGTGCTGAGCCCAGCATGAGGGCCAACACCCTGAAAGGGCACCGTGGTTGCCTATAAGATGTGTCATGGGAGGAAAGGGAAAGACCAAAAGTCAGATGAAATGCTCCACTCCCAGGCTGGACCTGCCCCAGCCGGCTGCTGTTTATGTGTCTGTATTTGGGGGGAAGTTAAGGTTAAAATGAGGGCTGGGAACTATCACTGGGGGCAGGTGTGCCTAAGCAGGAAGGCTTGAGTTAAGGGGATGAGGAATAAGCCCCTCCCTCTTCTAAGACTTCCCAGGGACTCAAACTTTTAGGAGCTGCTGCCTAGCACTCTTCCTTCCAGAAGAAAATAAGGGAAGCAGGAAAGGGTTAAGAGAGAGACATTCAGCTTCTCATCTAGGGTCTTCCCACCCTTCTTTAGCTTCCCGAAGGAGCTGGAGACTCAACAGGAACTCATGGGTAGAGAAACACTTTCCAACTCCAGGTGACATGCCTCACTAGCTCTGTATATGCCTGCCATAATGTCCATGGGACACTGTCCTCTGTTTAACAGTCAAAAATAAGGCCTCAAAATCGTAGCCACCTAAGAAGAGGCCAAACTGGCCCCACTTTGAGCCTTTCCAGTTCGGATTAGGGCCCAGGGTTAGGAAAAAATAAAAAAAAAGAGATGGCACTTCAGATAGTGCCTGAAGGCGACAGGAAGAGATAGACAATGCTGGGGCAAACTTGGCAGGCTCCCTAGTGTCACCTTGTGCCCGTCTCAGGGCCAGTGCAGCCCCATGCTGGGGCGGAGGGACTTCCTGTCGGGTGCGGCTACAGTGGAAACTGTGTTCCAAGGGCACTCAGGGGGTAGGGCGGTCACCTGGAGTCTGACTCACCCTGAAGATGGAGTGATAAGAAGTGGGCTGAATGCCACTATGCCTGGGACCAGAAACTGCACAGATATCTACTGCCCAGAGACTGGGAGGGGGTTGGGGGGAGAGGCTCTGCTTCTCCTGGGCGGGCTGAGATCTCGTCAGGCTACAGAGCTCCTCACTCTGGGTCCCCCACACTCGATCTGCTGCTAGGATGACTTGGTCCAGGCATCCACTCTATCTGCCGACCAGACCATGAGTTCCTCGAGGGCACACACTTGTTGTACCAGTCTGTACCCACAGGCCTGACACCAACTACAGAGGGCACAGCACAGTGGTAGAGCACATGTGAAGGAGTGGGGAAATCCCGGCTCTATTTCATCTTGGCTGTGTGACCTTGGGCAAGTTATACGAACTGTCTGGCTTCAGTTTCCTCAGCTATAAGAATGAGGATAATCATACTGACATCATATCACTATTACAAGAAGGAAATGATGAAGAAGAAAAGCCTGCAGCTTTGGGAAATGTGGCAGTAGAGCCTGAAGAGCAGGGAGAATCAGGCCAGGGCAGGAAGGAAAGGGCTGCAGAAAAGCCAGCAGGGTACGGGCCCAGAACAGTGTGCCTCTGCAGAGGTTACGATAAGCTTCCACGCCCATCATCCTCATCAGATGCTCTCAGCAATCCTGTGAGCAGACAGGGCAGTGTTGTAACACCTGCTTACCAAGACATCAGAAGATGATGCCAGATGATCTGTGAGGTGGAGACAGATCTGATTCCCCATTCAGTGCTTCACCAGGAGTCAGCAGCAGAAGGTGGGGACTACCATCCAAGAGGTTGGGGTTAGCTAAGAGCCACAGCTCTCCGGTGGATTCAGGCATTCCCTAAAAGCTTCTGAGCAGAGCAAGAACAAAGCACCAAGCTGCAGGCTGGGAGAACAGCAAGGAGGCTAGAGATAAGGATTGGAGATAAGGACCAGAACTAGGTCAGTGGCGGTGGACTAGAACAAGGAGGTGCCTGAGTGCTGCAGGGAGACAGGGAGGAGCAGAAACAACTGAGGTTCTGCCGGTAACTCACTGGGGGAAGGAAGGCGCCTTTGACAAAAAGGTGGTGGTGCTTAGGGGACAAAGAGAAAGCGATGAGGCTTGATGCCACAGGTGCAGACAAGGGCCGAGGGATAGCGCCTGTCAAGGTGCCCCTGGCGGTGGAAAGGAGGGCCTACTCCTCTCAGAAAAGGCAGGCTGGGCCCCACCATCCACACAGCACCTCAAGGCCCAGGCCACAGCATGCTGAGCCAGCGCACCTACTCTCCAGACCCGTCACACGGCCCTGCCCAGATGTCCTGCGTGTGTCGCGAGTGTGGGGCGCCAGTCCAAGTCAAGTCTGATCCTATTCTTGCTGCCAGTGCTCAAGGGAGGCATTAGAGAGCTCCTCCAGCAAACTTTATTAGTCGACAAATACTGACTGGCTCCCCTGTGCCAGATACTCCACAGTGGGTACTGAGGAGAAAGAAGAACAAGTAGGCACCCAGTGCCCACAGAGCAGGGTGGGGAACTCTTATCCCGGGTGCACAGATTCCAGAGGTCAATGACCAGGCAGAAACACAGGCGGGTATGAGAAGGTGAATCTTGGTGGACAAGGAATCTGGAGCTCTTCAGATTCTCAAGGAGGTGGTGACCCACAGGGGAAAAGGGAAGGTGTCAACAGCCAGGGAAGGTAGTGTTTTCGTGGGTGTCATAAGAGGTGTCTAGGGAGGCTTTCCAAAGGAAGTGTCACCTTAAAAGATGAGTAGGAATGGGGACAGAGGGACGGCAGGGGAAGACAGCAGAGGGAACGAGCAGAACCATGAGTGTGCAAAAGGCCCCTCCCACTGCCCTGAGACTTCACCCACACTGGCCCAGCAGGAAATAACCACTTGGAAGGTCACACAGAGGGCAGGGCAAAGACCAGTCCCTTCTCCTTCCTTCTCATGCAGCGGGACTGGACCAGTTCCTCTGGGAAGACAAGCCTGGCTCCAAACTCCCTCCAGGGACCTCCCTATAGGGGGTGCTGTGTTATGCAAGAAGCCCCAGCCTGCAGCCCTGACTGGGCAGGCGAGGGAACATCAGGACACACTGCTTATCAGTGGTGGGACCTCCCTGAGGCTCTGTCTCCTCTGCTGTGAAAGTGGGGCTGGCGATACTTTAGCAGGGGCATGTGAGGATTACACAAGGCAGTTTGGGTCCAGCATGTGGTACAGGGCCCCGCATGACCCTGCACCATGAAAAACTGCCTGCTGACATCTTGCAGTGTTCCAAGTCCTGCTGTCCATCAGCGATGGGCCTAACTTGAACCCTGGCTCTTGCTGCATCCCTCTTAGGGGATCATATTCCCTCTGTTCTCACCCATCCCTTGCCCTGACACGAAAACCAAGAAAGCACTTAACAAGAACCCAGGACCCAGGGCCCAGATCCATGCTGGGTGACAGAAGGCCTACCAGAAGAGCAACTGATCTATGTTTGCAGTTTTTTTGAGACAGGGTCTCGCTCTGTTGTCCAGCTGTCCAGGCTGGAATGCAGTGGCGCAATCACAGCTTACTGCAGCCTGAAATTCCTGGGCTCAAGTGACCCTCCCACCTCAGCCTCCGGCATGGGAGTAGCTAGGACTACAGGTGCATGCCACCATGCACAGCATTTTTTTTTTTTTTTTTTGTAGAGACCAGGTCTAACTATATTGCCCAGGTTGGTTTCGGGCTCCCAGGCTCAAGTAATCCTCCTGCCTTGGCCCAAGTGCTGGATTACAGGCATGAGCCACATGCCCAGTCCATTTTTCAAATGGAACGTTTAAATGCAGCATGAGAATGGAGCACATTATCCTTTTCTGATAGTGCTATGTTTTTTTGGCCAAGTCTCCGTAGATGATAAACTTTTAATTTTTGAAAGTGAGGCACAAGTAGAAATAACCGGTGTCCATAAATAGATGAATGAGTGAAGAAAATTTAGTACATACACACAATGGAATACTATTCAGGCTTTAAAAAAAAAAAAAAAAAAAAAAAGAGGAAATCCTGTCATTTGCAACAACATGGATGAATCTGGGAAGCATTATGCTAAGCAAAACAAGCCAGGCTCAGAAAGACGAATACTTCATTATCTCACTTACGTGAAGAATCTAAAACAGCAGAACTGGCCGGCCAGTGGCTCACACCTGTAATCCCAGCACTTTGGGAGGCCAAGGCGGGTGGACTGCTTGTGGCCAGGAGTTTGAGACCAGCCTGGGCAACACAGCAAAATCCCATCCCTACAAAAAATATAAAAAATTAGCTAGGTGTGGTGGCACACACCTGTAGTCCCAGCTACCCAGGAGGCTGAGGTGGAAGGACCAACCAAGCCCAGGAGGTCAAGGTTGCGGTGAGCTGTAACTGAACTACCACACTCTCACCTTGGCAACAGAGGCCCCGTCTCAAAAAAATAAAAAATTAAAATAAAAAAATTAAAAGTAGAAGTCACCAAAGCAGAGAACAGAAGGGAGGTTACAGAGGCTAGACTTGGCGGAGGTGAAGAAAGGAGAGATTTTGGTCAAAGGATACAAAGTTCCAGTTAGACAGCAGGAGCGCCGTTAAGGTAGCTACTACCCAGCATGGTGGTCCGTTAATAACAACATAGATTTCAAAACTGCTGAGCCTAGATTTGAAACATTCTCACTACAAAAATGTTAAATTAGCTTGGTTTAGTCTTTCTACAATGTATACATATATTGAAATATCACATTGTACACCATAAATATATAAATATTATTTATCAATTAACAATTCAAAAAACTTTTTTTTTTAATAAGGATCAAATTAAGAGTGACCTATCTGATTCCCTCAGGGATGTCAAGAGGCCTCCCGGGCTACAAGAACAGGCATCACATATCTGTGAAGTTTCCCCACAGAATCCTTAATTCTGACCCCACCACAAAACTCAGTGGGTGGTTTCAGCACATTCCCCTGTGTGGACCACTTTTAGCAGAAAGGTGTTCTTCCCATGCCTTCTAATGATAACCATTCCAGACATATGATTTTACCTGAATTTCCCTTCATGAGATTTCGTTTGACATCTGTCTTCCTTCCTAAACTGGAACCTCTCAGAGGCCTGTCCATCACTGCTCGCAGCACCTGGCACTAACAGCAGCTGGACCAATACTAAAGGAACCACCCCGGGAGGCAGGAGTCACATGCTAACTTCCCATGTTACAGGACTTCTGTTGTCTGAGCCTTCCAACAGCACCCACATGTTAGGTTATCACTAGCCTTATTGCACAGATGCAAGAACTGAGGCTGGACCAGGTCTGTGCATGTCATACCTAATACTCTCTCCATCAGGTAGAGCTCAAGTTCTGGGACATAAACAGAAGCCCAGCTCAGCTCTCCTTGCTGCTGCATGCGCGGTTCTTTCCACCACATACACCGAATGTTTATGCCTTAGCTGTCTGTTCTATCCTCCTTTCCAACAAGTATCTGCACCTCTGCTTCTCTCCTGCAAAATGAGGACAAAAATCCCAACCCTGCCCACTTCTTGGGAATGCGGTTTTAACTAGGTTGCATAAAATTGAAAGATTTTCCATTAGAAGGTGAGCTCTGGGCAGGGCTGAACCCAAATGCCATTCGTCTCTGTTCTGCATGTCTCACAACAATGCTATCATTTCTTTGATAGTAACAGTATGCCAGGCAACTGATTCTTCCATTAATTAAACAGTAGTACTGATATTATCAAATATAATCAATAATCATTATAAAAATCTAATAAAGTCAGCACTCCTTTCTCCTTCCACAGATGAGAAAAATGGAAGCCTAGTGCAATTAAGTAATCCATCCAGAGTCACACAGCTAGAGGTTGCCCAAACGGCAGGGCAGGCTTCCAGTGTAGGCTGATTCCCACTAGAACCTCTGCCCTTTGCTCTTGTCCTACTCCTGTCCCTACCTTTCACATGCAAATTGTTTCAAGGGTGTCTAGGGCTCCTCCACATCACATTACAGAGTTGACAGCTCTTTCTGGTGTCATATCAGAGAGAGATGATCAAACCTATCAAGAGCCCCAGATATCGTCATTTCTTGACCAAGAGCAAAGAAATAAAAGAGCAATGCATGTAGAGGTGTTTAGAGCTGTATTTCTCATAATAGGGAGAACTGGAACTATGCAGTGAGCCCAGAACCTGTAGGGTGCAGTGATGCAGGCCAGCCATTCATGAGATGGGCCATAAGAGGCATTAAAATACTGCGGGCAGCACCATGCAACATACACACACAGGAACGCCGGGGGAAGAGTCCTATACTACATACTCATGATCGCAACCATGGCAATACCATACATGCAAATGGCCAAAGACCACGGATTCACACTCAACTGTGGGTAGTATTTTTTCCATCTTCCTTAATTCGGCTGTCAAAATGATTTAATAATAAAAGTAACCAGAGGAACCTAGCTGGCTGTGGCTCACTGTCTTGATTCATACCCTAAACAGATTCTCTTGACCCTCACCTGGCTCAGTGGGAAAGCAGGAAACCATGGTTGGCACTCAGGCCTGACACAGCCTTGCCAATGCCTAAAGACCTTTCTCAAGCTTGAAAAAAACAAAAAAGTCCAGCTCTGCTGGTGCAGAAGGGGGCAGGTTGAGCCTGCACACACCAGCGTCCCTCTGCAGCCTGGACTCTAACCACTGCAGCAAACGTAGCAGCCGACTGCGACTAAGCCCTCTAAAATCAGTACAGACATCTCCATTATCAGGAGCTAAAAATGTCAGTTAAGAAACTAACTGATGATGAGCAATGCAGTCCCCTCCCCACCCTCTCACCCTACCCCATCACTTCCGTTTTCTTGGAGGGTAAAAAAGCCTCCTCTACCACAAAGCAGAACTCACAACAGCTAGGACTTCCTCACCATGCTAAGCTCACAATGGGAGCAGCAGCAAGCAAATCACAAAGGCAAATGATAAGGTCCATGCAGCTTAGAAGACCCCTCCCCTGGTGGGAGACAGTTTTGTGTGGCACCCAAAAACCCCTTCCCCATTGCCTCACAGTAGACAACCAGGAGTCAGGCACAGGAGGTCCACCTGGTCAGCTCTGGGGACTGGAACAACCACCCAGACTCTCTGGTCCCGAAGACATGCGGCTGCTACCTAACCATCTCCAGATCTGCCAGGACTGTAGAGCAAAAGAAGGTGACCCTTCTCCACCAACTCTGGCTGGTAGATAGGATCTTGAGGCTGAGCCCAGGAGGGAGGAGGAGGAAGAGGAGCAACCTCAACCACTATGTGTTCACTTTCGCTGGATCCAACAGAGACAGCAAGCAAGGGCCTGAAAACCTCAGTGGGTGGCCCCTGTAAATGACACCCTTTACACACCCTAGTCCCATGGTCCTGTTTACGTCAATTCTGGGTTCCCTAAAACAGTTTTCCTGATAGCTGCCAATGGCCTTCACTCTTGTCTGGCACCAGATGCACCAACTTCAATAGCATCTACGTGACCTTTCAAGTGGGTAGATTTGTTCTTAAAATGGCGTGGGTCAAGGGAATAAGAGCTACAATTTATTAAAAGAATAGGTATTTCCACCTGGTACAGTGGCTCACATCCGTAATCCCAGACCTCTGGGAGGCAGAGGCAGGTGGATCACAAGGTCAGGAGTTCAATACCAGCCTACCCAAAATGGTGAAACCCCATCTCTAATAAAAATACAAAAATTAGCCAGGTGTGATGGTGGACACCTGTAATCCCAGCTACTCAGGAGGCTGAGGCAGGAGAATCGCCTGAAATCGCAAAGCAGAGCTTGCAGTGAGCCGAGATCACGCCTGCACTCCAGCCTGGGCAAAAGAGCAAAACTCCATCTCAAAAAAAAAAAAAAAAAGAATAGGTATTTCCCAACCAACCAACAGCCAACACCACACCTGGGACATCAGGGTTCCTGTATCCATGTCACGCCACTGGTTTATTCAAAGCCTGTGACCAACTAAAATGCCCAGTTTTTTTCCAATGTTGACAGCTGTCAGAGCACCCCTTAGTCCATGCCTAAACTGCAGATCGTAGAAACTTAACTAACTTCACAGTCACCCAGTGAAGTTCTTCTTGCTGATATCATTACCACAGTCTGCACACTTTTAAATAAACTCTTGGACTTGTCCTCATGGGCAAGTCTGTTTTCCTCTGAGGAAAATCTCAGCCCATCCAACTCCCAAATCTATGTGCCTGCCTAGTTGCTTCTTCATTTGAATATTTACAGAGTGTCTCCCAGTCTTGTCATCTGGCAAACAAAAAGGTGACTAGGCCGGGCGCGGTGGCTCAAGCCTGTAACCCCAGCACTTTGGGAGGCCGAGGCGGGTGGATCACGAGGTCAAGAGATCGAGACCATCCTGGTCAACATGGTGAAACCCCGTCTCTACTAAAAATACAAAAACATTAGCTGGGCATGGTGGCGCGTGCCTGTAATCCCAGCTACTGAGGAGGTTGAGGCAGGAGAATTGCCTGAACCCAGGAGGCGGAGGTTGCGGTGAGCCGAGGTCGCGCCATTGCACTCTAGCCTGGGTAACAAGAGTGAAACTCCGTCTCAAAAAAAAAAAAAAGGTGACTAAAGCAAGATGGCTGCCCTCAGGGAGGTCAGGGGCAGGGAAGGGGGAAGCACACAGTGAACAGATAACCACCCTACAGTTCGTCCAAAGCCTAAGTCCCGCTGGTAATGAGAGAAGGTGGGACCTGAGGACACCCGGGGGGGCCAGATGAGCAAGCTGTCCAGGGAGAGAAGAGAGAAGATGCAGGTTGAGCGGGCAGGCAGGGGAATGCTGGAGTCACTAGAAGGAGCGGGTGTGGAGAGGCTGAGCCCTGTGTCCAAGCAGAAAGAGTGGTGACATCCAAGGGCACTGGGGAAGTGGGATGGGCCTGCCTGATGGGCTACAGACTTTATCTCACAAGTAATGAAAAGCTGGAAGACAGGTAGAGAGGTGGCAACAATATGATTACAGTATCATTTATAAAGAGAATTTAGCAAAGGCCAGAAAGCAAAGGGGCCCCAGAAAAAAACAAGCTGGATGTGGGTTAGGGAAGTCACCTTCTCACCTCAAGGACAGTAGAAAAGCAGCTGTCTCTGAGTCTGTCTGGAGGGACAGTCCCTTCCAGCTGCATGGTGCCATGTGTTGCTTGCTCATCTACTCACACTTCACACTTGTGCACACCAGGGCCTCTGGCCCCCACAACTACCCTGGGATCCGGTATTATCATTGCATACAAATGACCAGGTTCAGGACAACTAAGAAACTTAACCAATAGCTCATGGGTAATAAAAGATAGGTCCACATTTAAACAGGGGCTTTCTGATTGCATCAGGCTTTCAAAATTCTTTCAAATAAACAGTCCCAAGGCTTAGGTGTGCTTTCTGCCTAATAGCCAGAGAAGTGTGATCACATCCATTCTTAAACCAAATGAGAAAAATAAGAAAACTACAAAGTGGTAGGGGTGCAGAGGCCTCAGATATGAGCTGACAGAGGATAAACTAGCAGCAGCCCAGGGAACGGTTATAAATAGCACCCATCAAATCAGAATCTTCCATGGTAAG